GGCTTTTCACAATAGAAGCACGCTAGAGTCTCCATGCAATAACGTCTCCGTTATAACGTAGGGCGTTAAATCTAACCGTGCACGTAACTGAAGAGTTGTTTACTATTCAGCGATGGTGAAAACTGGATTTTTTTTTAAACGTTAGACCACATTAGTGGCTGAAATACACCACCCGCCGCCAGTTGTTCCAACAATAACGTTAGCATGCTAATGCGCTTAGCGGTGCTGCAACGAAATGTGTCCCCAGGGAAACAGCTCACTGGCGGCTGCGACGAAACGTTCCGCACGTGTTCAGGCTATACCGGTATTCAGAAACGTCATATCATAACAAAAACATAAACCGGTTTTCGGTACAAAACGGTATACCGCCCAGCACTACTAATGTCTAAATGTCAGTTTGCCTGAAATCAAAACTAATGAAAATTTTTGTTACTATTATGTTTTTCTTCTACTGAGCCAGGCTTTTTTAATCTTTCAAATGATCTTAATCAACATCGCTTCTGGCTTTCTGCTCTTTCAAAGTTTTTCTTCACAAAGGAACTCTTATTGCATATATCAAAAATAATACTGATGACAATACTGATTAGCATAATTAGTATTTTAGCACCAACAAAATTATTCCCAAAGCTTCAAACTTGACAAACAGTAGAAGATCAACCAAAGGATGACGATGCATCTCTCAGATATGTCGTCATTTCTGAATTTTTTATATATTTGTTAAGAAATAATTTATAGAATTTTTTTCTGTCTGACACTTCACTTTAGCATAATTTGTACATAAAAATGATTTAAGCATGCTCTCATAGTATGCATGGTTAGAAACAAGGATAGACAGAAAGTGAGTGGAAAAACGGGTCAAAGTTGAAAGAAGTTCACTGTGAAAAGTCCAGCAAAAAAATCATGTTACAGGAAGTAGGTTAGTTAACATTTATTTTGCACAGTTGTACTTGACTAAATAAAACTAATTAATGACCTAATTATATTTTCAGAAATGTTTTTACTATACATGTAACACTAATTTTAATGTTTCAGGACATTCTGTTTCAGGATGAATGAAAGGTCATTGGGTTTTACAGTGTGCAGCATCCTGTTCACCGTGGCCCTAAAAATTAAACATTTTAGTGAAAGTATTTTTATTTTTTTACTTAGTTTACTATTGGCTGTTGTCACAGACACAAACCAATGCAGTTTTTTATTTTTGCTGTTGTCTACTAGCCTGGCCATTGCCTTCTTACACATTCTAATCTCCCTTCACTGCTCCGTCTGGTCTTTCTCCAACTGACATGGATTTCTCTTAGAATTTGAACTGGGTCAGTCAGCTAACAGGAGGAGGAGTTATGAATGATGGCGTTGATTTTTTGCAATGTTTTAGTTTACCTGTAATTTAGCAATGGCAGCAGAGGAAGTGACTGAGGATATTCAGTCCATGTTAAGGCTTCCAATTTAAATTAAATTTGTCTTGCAAAGCCTGCAGCACTCATTTGCAGCCATCTGATTTGGCTCGGTACTTCTCTCTTCCTAGTAGGTGATGTTTGTTTACAGCTCACGCAATTTCCGGTAAGCTTTTTGAGCGTAGCTTCCATCGTGGTCGAGTTGGCGCACTACATACTTCACAGCCAAACATTAGCGACTGGGTAAAATCATATCCAATCGTTTTAAACTTCAGCAGAGTCCACACCTCCAGCAAACAATCATTTCTCAATAGCCGAGGGTCCAGACCCTCTGTACGAAGCACAAGTGAAGAACAAGGGGATGGTTTTTACCAGGCTAGTTGTCTATTGTAAGTACCGTTAAGCTATATTAATTATTTTAACTGTCAAGAAAATACAATATCACAGAAAAGGTAATGTATTTGTGGACTAGCTAAGCAATAAAAAATGTCTTTTGGTCACCAAATTTGGTATCAAGAACAGAACTGTCTTGTGTTGGACTCAGAGTGTGGAAACTCATCATGAGAGCAGCCAGGTTTAGATGTGACAATGTGAATTGATATAAATGGAACTCGTGACTTGGCAAGCGAAATGAGAAGGAAAATTGTGAAGCTAAGTTCCCACCTGTAAATACACAAGGCCACACTTAGACTTGGTCATAGTTTGATAGATTAGATTAGGTTAGAGCTGCAACTAACGAATATTATAATCAATTAATCGTTAGACTAATTAAATA